AGGCTGGTCATTTTTTCCAACCTCTTGAATATTTTCGTGGGACAGTAAAACGGGTTCAGGGCTAACCCTTGCCTATAGCCCTCTCTCTCGTCTCAGTATACTTTCACCTACCAGGGCATCGTCAAAGTGGATTGACAAAGGAGAAGCAGAGAGATCTTGGTGGCAAGGCAGGACTCCTGGGTTCTCACCATAGCAGTACTGACTCAATGCGAGGTCCCTCCTGCAAATTGGGATCATACCGGCTTAGCACCATTCAGGTGAGACAGGACCTTTGTTTAGCGGTCACTGAGCCCTCTAGAAAGTATAAAAGCAAGGGGTGTTGGAACACGGGTCTTTAAGACAAGGTCTCTCTCTCGGCAGTGTTCGATAGAGTCCAATCCTACACTGCACTCTATACTTCCATAACAACACCAGAAAAATTCCAGGGATTTATCCAGAACTGCCACTGTCAAGAGGGGAGCGTTTCCAAGCACAGTCTCTCCTGGAATCAGGCAGGTATTAGGTATTTTAACTATCAGGTATTTGTGTAAACATGTAACCGCTTGAAATTTTAGCAGCTACATCTTTACATTGCAGGGTGGGGGGCAGGCGAACACCTGCTCCCACCTCCACCACCCCCATCCTCTGATAGAGAGGCAGCAATGTGGGGGACAAGCGGTTCCGTAGGAGTGGAGATGCATGGGGAGCTGGCTTGCAAGCCACTTCCTGCGTGTACCTAAACCCCCCATGCTGCTAGCTCTCCATCAGAGGCAGCAGTGGGGGAGGGAGGGCAGGCAGGCATAGAGGGCTGGTTTAAAAGTTGGCTCCCCATGTGTGCCGGCTCCTGCCTGCCCCTCTTCCCACCACTGCCTCAGTGGTTCCATGGATACAAAGGCAGTGGGGGGGGAAGGGGGATGCATACAGTCAAAAGGATTAACGGATAAGCCCAGGCTTATCGGTACATCATGTAGTTGACTGCATGCTGACATCCCCAGCAGATACGGGAACTCTCTTCAAGCAGCCTGAAGTGCACCAGAAACAATCCCTGCCGCTTACTCAGATTTGGGCTTTTGAACTTCCCTTCACACCAGGAGGAGGCTTTGCGGTAGCCCTCTGACGGGCCACGCTGCTGGGAACACTGGAGCCTATTCCATTCAGAGCTAGCAGAGCTCCTGCCATAGCTCAGGCAGTGGAGACTTCAGCATTGGGAGCAGGATGGCCTCAGTACTAGTCCTGCTGCTATTACCCAGCTGTGAGCAGCCATAGCGGATGACGTAGCAACACCCATGAAGTCCAAGGCTGGAACGTCACACTCTCACATCCAGGTCCGTGCCAGGTAGAACAGTTTCCTTCCCTTCCCGCTTGCACTCTAAAATACAGTACGGTGAGCAGAAGCAAATTACATAACACCGCTTCCTTTGAATTTCCCTGGGCTTTGACAGAGCGTTCAGCAGACGCCAGTCATGAGCGAGTGAGGACAACAGGTCCAGGTCACTTCTGGAGACCGGACGTCATGACGACTTTGGTGACCTCCCTCAAAATCACTAGTGAAATACAGCTAGTCCTTCACAGAGACATCCCCCCCGCCCGCAAGTCTGGCCTTGCTCAGGACAGAGTTGCATTAGCAGAGCTGGGTGGGGAGAAATACACAGTGCTCCAACTAATGCAATGTTCCCTCTGCTAGAACGGGCACTAAATTCTCAGATACTTCCAGCTGCCCTGCAAATGTGCCTCCAGCTGCTTATTTTTGGATCTCATCGGCCATGACCTGCTCCCCCACCTACGCATATTTAAAAACTCATGAGGTGACAGCGTGAAACTAATTATGATCTAATGAAGTTAGATCTAATGATTATCTAATGATCTATGATCAAGTTCCCTTTGGAACTTGAGCTCCTATTAAAAGCAGCTACCACTCACCACCCCTGAGAAATGGAATACTCGGCAGCAGCCTTTTTGTGAGACCCACCAAAAGCTGCCTCTATAGGTTTTACACCAATCCACTCACTAGTAACAAAATGCTGCTTCCGGAACATTCCTCTTCTTGCCAAGGCCTATGTACAGATGAGGAAGCAATTAGAAGCCACACTGGTTTGGGCTATGTTAGAAACATACCACTTTTTTAAAAGCAGCAGCAAGCAGACAAATGGAAAGGAAAACAGTATTTTCTTCTGGCAACAGGACAGCAGCAACTGGTATCATACAAACAATAGCAGAACCAATTGCTTTGAACCTTAGGATCACAGATGCCTTATCTTTAAACCAGTTGTTTGTATAATCTTTTCCTTCCACCAGCCCTGCGCTGAAAAACCATGGCACACTCAGGAATTTTAGAATAGAAGGCACAGTGCATCCATCCCACTATATACACTGCCAAACCTAGGCACCGGTACATACACAGGAGGACAACCCCCAAAAAGCATGGACCAAGTCTCCAAAAATCATGGCTCAAAACCAAAATGAGATTGGCTTTATTTCCTTTGGGGGCGGGGGGGACACATTTTCTAACTTTTCATCACGACCATGAGGCCAGAGACATACTTTTAGTAACAAATACGGATACTGACAGCAGCGGGCTATGGTTTTAGTACAAATTGGGGCCTGGTTGTGTCCGGGGCTGTACAAGTATGGAAGAGACAATCCATGCTGTAAAGCAGGGCTACTCAACTTGGGAAGCCCAGGGCCCACAATGATACTCACAGCACACGCCGAGGGCTGCAACTTAAGAGTGGTTGCATATACATACAAATATATATGCAAATATATGCAAATAATTTCTTTCACACTGACAGGCCTGTATACAAAGTACTTCCCCCTTCTCCTTGGGGGCTAGAAATGCCGACGCCCTCTACCCGTCTGTTCCGGCCAGCCCGTCCGCTTACGTCTTTCAGTGGTTGCCCCACGTGGGGGACACCTTGCCGTTGTGGCGCGTGTTCCCAGTGGAGGCCATGTTCACAGGATCCCACCTGTGGGCCACGTGTTGAGCCCCCATAAACCCAAACCGCACCACGGGTGCCACGTGCTGAATAGCCCTGCTGTAGAGGGTTTATGATCTAAAGCTGGGATGGGGAACCTAAGGCCTGAGGGAGGCTGGATCCAGCCCCTGAGGCTATGCGCTCTGCCCAGCATTGGGGAGCTGGTGCTGACGCTCCTGCCCCCCTGAATCCTCCCCCCACAGGGCTGGAGTGCCAATGTTGGCACCCCATTGTGGGGGAGGAAGCCCCAAGCCTCGTGGGTCCAAGTCAGGCAAGCTGGATCTGGATCCAATCCGTACACGGGGGGAGAAGTGGCTCCTGTACCCCACCCCTTGCCCAAACACTGCACCCTTACTAAGCTCCCACCTCCCACCTGCCAAACCCACGCCTGCATCTTCCCTCCTGCCCATACCTCACACAGAAGCCTGCTTCCTGGCAGCCACACACACAATCCCTCATTTTTGGCCCCACCCTAGAGCCTAGGGGGCCCACAAAATCTACTAGCCCAGGCCCCCCTAGGCTCTGGGGTGAAGGAAATGTGGGGCGAGTCCTTCTTCTCAGTCACGGGTTCAATTCTGGGCAGCCCCCAATTGATTTCTCTGAGTCAGTGGCCCCAACCCCAAAAAACGTTCTCCACCCCGTTCTAAATGAAATGGATAGAAGACAGTAATACAACATACCATCAGGTGGGGAAGGTGAAGAATTGACCCAGCTTTATTAGCTACGTGGACTGCAGGCTTCATCTGTTTAAGAAGAGGGTACAGAGGGGGGAAGACCGAAGAAAAGCAGAGAAGAGGAGTAGCCACAGCTATTTCAAATGAAAGTGGAGATTCTCGAGGGCTCCCATCATGCCAGGAGCTGGGATTTTAAGGAAAAAAATCCCCACCAAATATTGTGAATCCCGTAATAAAGTTGTGACTCCGTACCACCGGGCTGCAGGCCTGCATGTGGACCTTTGACAGCAGCGAGGGGAGATGGGGGGGATTCTGTGCCGATCCGGATTGACTCCTACCAGGCATTTTCAGTGTGTACGGGGGTGGACCTGAAGAGTCAGAGTTTAAGACCCACCAGATCCTCTCATCTGATCTCCTGTACATCACAGGCCACCAGCACCACCCCACCCCCACACCTCAACCCCGCAACCGAAATTAGACCCTCCCACAGGAGAGCAGGCTATTACGTGTCACACAAAGGGAACAGGCAGGACCCGGGGGCCCCCCCCCCCCCCCCGAGGCCCTGTGATGGCAGTGAAATGATTAAGTGAGATACACCCAGATAACTCCGGCAAGCAACCCACCCTCTGCAGAAGAAGGTGAAAAGTCCCCAAGACCACTGCCAGGCAGACCGGGGAGAATTCCTGCCCGACCCCCATGTGACCATCAGACCAGAGGCGGGGAACCTCGGATGAGGCCCTCGGTTTGCCTGGATCCGGCTCCTGAGGCTCAGGGCTCCCCCCCACCCTAGCACTGGGGAGCCCGAGCCTGTTGTGGGACTGGAGCACACAAAATCTACGAGCCTGGACCCCACTAGGTTCTGATGTGCGAGGGGAATGCGGGGAGGGTCTTTCTCTTTCTCAGTTCAGAGCCCTGTCAGTGAGGGGTTGTCTTTTCTTTTTTTCCTCTGGCTCCTGACCCAAAAAAGGTTCCCCACCTCGGAGTTCGACCCTGAACACATGAGCCAGCCCTGGAGTAACAGAACGTCTAGCACCACCGCAGAGTCCATGGGTGAGTCCCAATCCCAGATGCCCCCAAAGGTGAAGATCTGAAGCCTGTGCTTTTAGGAAGGTGCTAGCAGTGAGCCCCACAGCTGCTGAGCTTTGCCCCCCCCACGTACAAGCAGCCTCATCACAATCCCACTCATGAACTCGCCCAGCTCTGCGCTGATTCAGATCCCACCCCCCCGAACAAACAGTATTGGGAGGCCCAGAATCACCTTTCCAGTTAGTGAACCTCTCTCAGAGCTCCTCTTTCCTCCCACAGCCTGCAGCTCTGTCCCGCACTCCCCTTAGACACCACCAAACCCTGCAGCAAGACCCCTGGCACTCACAGGAAATTGGAACAGAAGCTCCTCTCCACTGGCAGAGTGAGGACGCAGGTGTGCCAACCATCAGGAGTCACCGGCACAGCACACGGGAGAAATGGTACTCTGCATCAGCCAATCCGTACACGGGAGATTTCCTTCTTGCAACACAAGACAGCCCAGCGCAGACCAGGAATCTCATTCCAACTCCTCTAGCAGAACGCTTGGCTTTCCAAAGGACGCCTGCTGAGGACAGTAACTCTCCTCAGAATGAAAGCAAAAGTGCTTCAGCCTTTATTTACTGGAAAGCAGCAAGAATACGGATGTCTGTGACCAGGAAGGTAGATACCGCGGGGGCTATCGCTGCTTTACGTCTTAGTGAGAACTTCAGTCGTTTCTCCGTCCAGATACAAGTATTCTACAAATAGCTCTCCCACACGCCCACCTAACCCCTCGGGGCGTACGTAGCTGGCTACCACAGCCACACTCGTGCTCGAGAAGCTCCAGTGCATGTCTCTTTTCCCACGCTGGGAAGCACACTCCCAGCTACCGTGCACCCATATCCTTGGAGGTGGAGCCTGAGGGGGACGCGTGTGCCAGAAAACTTGCAGGGTGGGGAGCTGTTTGTGGGAAGGGACTTTCCAGAATGAGGAGCTTAACATGGAGAACAAAATCCGAACCGTGCTACAGTGAATTCAGCCTAGAGTGAGGGTAACTCCCAGCCCACTGCCTGCAGAGACCATGCCAGACTTTGATTTACAATGAGGGCTGGCTACTAAACAACTATTTTGAGGTTTCAAAAAAACAAGGTTTCAAAATTTGTTTTCATTCTGATCGCACATGAAACAGAGACCTTGGGACATTTTTTATTTGGGGATTTTTTTTTTTTTTTTAAAAGCGGGAGAGACACATCCCAGAATAGCCAATAGTCTAGACGAGGGCTACTCAACTTTGGAAGCCCCACAGCCACAATGATATTCACAGCACATGCCGAGAGCCGCCACTTAAGGGTGTCTGCATATACATGCAAATAGATATGCAAATAGATTTTCACACTGACAGATATGAATACAAAGTTTAAAGCAAGACTACGCAACACGCAGGCTCCACGTAAGTCAGTTCTGCTGATATGAAGAAAATGCAATGGTTACCTGATTTCCACCCATATGACAGCACTTTTAATGAGCAGCTAGCCAATTAGCCCGTCATAAGATGGGATTTTCAGGTCTCTCCTCCACGTCGGTCTTCTCTCCTGAGCCTCCGGTCTCTCGCTCCGTCTCTCTCCTCCTCCTACTGCCTCCCTCTCTCTCTCTCAGCTCTCCTCCGCCTTCTGCCTCTCTCTCCGTCTCTTTCCTTCTCTTCTCCCCCTCCTGCCTCTCACTCTCCCTTTCTCTTCTCCTCCTCCTCCTCCTCCCTCTCACTCTCTCTCCACTCTCCTCCGTCTCTGTCCGGAGACCAAATGGCCATTTGGGCACCGCACTCCCCGTGCGGCATGGGGGCCACGGAGCCCAAACGGTCTCTTGCGCCGCTTGCTCCCACGTGGCGGCCTGGCTGAGCAGCGCAGAAATCAGCTGAGCGCCCCGGCGGGAGGCGAAGAGGGGCGGGGCAGTGACGTTCACGGCCGGGGGCGGGGCCTGGAGCCGCTGTCACGCCGCATGTCACCCCCCTGCTCCCCTTCGCCTCCCACCGTGGCACTCGGCTGACTTCTGCGTCGCTCAGCCGGGCCGCCGCAGGGGAGCAAGCGGCTGTTTGGGCCCCGCACTCCCCATGCAGCACCGACCGCCCAGAGGGAACAGCCAGCAACTCAGGCAACAGCGCCGCCCAGAAGGAACAGCCAGCATTTCGGCGTTACAGACTCTCAGACACTGGGCTACTATATATATGATGACAATCCAGGAATTTCACTACTGAAACGCATGTCAACAGACGACCATTATATTGACTACTTTTTTGTTTTGGCTCCACCTGCAGGCCGCGTTTTGAGCCCCACGTAAATCCAAATCACACCACGGGCCACAAACAAACAGGCAAGTAAATCCAAATCACACCACGGGCCACAAACAAACAGGCAGCGGGTTGAGTAGCCCTGGTCTAGTGGTTCTAGTCCCTGCTCTATTTGCTTCACAGTATGTTCTCCTACCAACCCAGGAGAGCGCCTTAACCACTGGACTATCACCGATGTTCATCTCTGTCTCTGGGTTTTCTCTACCTTGGAGCTGAAGAAGGTGGAATTTCCAGACACGTTCTGATCACGCAAGCATGAAACAAAATAGAAAAGCAGCCCTGGTAGAGTGAGCTGCAAGACAGACTAGTCGCCCCAAGTATGTACCTACAGTCTCTTACAGGATTGTACTTGGGGCAGCTAGACTGTCCCACTGACCATGGGGACACTTGCAGGTTTTGCGCGCCAGCTCAAAACATATGGCAGGAGTATGTCTACTCCAGGTGGAAATTACACTGCCCAGCTCCAATGCAAGCATACCCTCTGTGTAGAAATTCCATCCCAGATAAAAAAACAACCTCCTAATAAAATGGCTGTCCAAACAGATAGATGCTCTCATGACATTTCGGTTTTGATGAAACAACATTTGTCACTGAAAAAATGGTTTGTCAATTTCTTTTCCCAGCTCCTCTTGTAACTCCCCGGGGCGGTGCCATACCAAGGGGCAGGTTTGTTGGCAAATAGGAAAACCATTTGTCTTATAGCTTCCTACTGGAAGCAATTATCAGAGGACTAAATCTATCAGACAGAGACCAAAGTAAAGGAGCACCAGTAGAGAGATTTTAGCAGCAGTGCTCTGATGCAAAGCTAAACCCCTCCTACCACAAAGGTGCGAGATGGTATTTTTGCAGGATGTTGGCCATGGATGCTGCTTATTTACTCTATCCTCTTTTGGGAAGCTAAGAGCTCTATTTTAATCTACCTTTACCCAAGCCTCCAGTATTCTAATTTCTCCTCCCACCAGTACCTGCTTCACCTGCTGATCACAGCTTTCCAAAACATCAGAGTAAAACTGACATGCTTTCTTTGCAGCCTTTAAAACTCCAATCAGCAGCATTTAAAATGAAGCAAAATACATTTTGTGGACTTTGCTGCTGCTTGAGGAAACTAAGCAGCACCACTGACAGTGAAGCTGCCAGCAGACTCAGGAAGCCACTGTGCCCCATTCTTTGCGGACTTTGCTGCTGCTTGAGGAAACTGAGCAGCACCAGTGACAGTGAAGCTGCCAGCAGACTCAGGAAGCCACTGTGCCCCATTTGCAAAGTTATCTTCATAACCATAATAGCTAGAACTCTTATTTTAAATAAAAGCTGAAATTCTGCAGGAACCGATGGTGCAGCAGCTCCTCTTGGTTCCCTCAGTCACTGAGCTGTGTTTCGTATCCACCATTGGCAAGTGAAACTACAAGCCCTGTGCAAAACAGCCTTCATGTTTTCTGTGGGTCAGATCGACTGAGTATTACAAGATCAGCTAAGCCTCTAGCTCAGGATTTTCCAACCTATGGGTCAGGATCCAAATATGGGTCACCATTACATTTCAAAAGGGTCGCCAGGTGCCTCCCCAGGTGGCTCTTAAGGAGCCATTTATGCATTGTTTGAATTGCCCTGGGTCACCAAGCCTTCCCGATTTGTCAAAATGGATCCTCATCTGGCAAAGGTTGGGAACCGCTGCTCTAGCCCTACAAAAAAAGGCTGTCAAAGACTCACTTCTCTTCCTATTGCTTATTTTGCCCTTTGAAATACTTACGAACGCTTGACAAAAAAAAAAAAAAATCTTGTTTGAGTGTTGCTGTTTCCAGAATAAACACCGTGAGTCCAGCTACCTGGGATGCACATGCATCAATGCCCATTATTGTTCGCTGTCTCCCATCACTGTTTTTGTGGGAGACAATACCGACATTTAGCAACAGCAGAAGCTGCAGCGTGATGCATCTCCTCTACCCAAAACCACAGAAGCACAGAAATAAGATAAGGAGAAGGACTTGTGCATTCCCTTCCACCTTTACATTGCTGCTAATGCTATCAATAACACACCTGCAGATAGCCCTCACTTCCCTCTCCAACAGATACTCAGTCACCCAAATCGCTCTCTACCTTTAGACCTTAACAGTGACCTCAGATGCATTTAGACCAGGGGTTCTCAAATTGTGGGTCAGGTCCCCAAAGTGGGTCACGCAACCTCATGTTAATGAGGTCGCCAGGGCTGGTGTTGGCCCTGGCCCCCAGCAAGTCTGAAGCCAAAGCCCCACTACCCCAGGCTAAGGTTTCATACCTCCAGCTCAGGGAAGGTTAAGGTTTCATACCTCCAGCTCAGGGAAGAATCCCTTTTGACTCTCCAATCCTCCACCCACCCACAGTAACAGGGCTCAGGCAAGCTTGGTGTTCGGTCCCTCCTGGGTTCACGTGGTAACATACGGTGTCCAAATCGGATCACAGTGCAACGGAGACTGAGCACTGCTGATCTAGACCAACTCGTTCAGCACATCTGACTACCCAACACGACACGTGTTTGGGGAGTTACTCTGCCCTGACACGGCTGAGGTCACCACGTGACGTTGCTGTACCATGACAATGCCAGCTTTTCAGGCGTGGTCCGAGGCACATTAATAAACAGATCAGAATGCCCGTAGACGTTGTTAGTACCTGTATTTAGAATCGTGGTTTCTAAATGGCAGGAAACAGCATGTTAGGGTAATAACTGAAAAGCTTTCTGAGGACAGCAGGGAAACAGACCTTCTTACCTCAGCTCTTACCAAGTGTTCATTCATTCACACCTAATATTATTATTACAAAACGTGTATGCCGTGCTGGAAATTTACATGGCTCTTTATACATGTAGAGAGGCACATTTCTGGGATATCAAAGCTTACAATAGCTGGAGCTCATGCCATTCTGGTCCTGTCCTTTCCACACTGCCTCCGAGAAAGCATCTTTATAATTCAGGAAGTACAGTGGGATGGAGGAGGGGCGCTGGGCCAAATTGCATGTGTGTGTTATTAGTAATTATGTAAATGAGTATTACTAGGAACCGGCAATCTGGTAGCACTCCTATCTGGTCCTATACTAGGTTTCCCAGACATGAGACAAGAAAAATGACTGACAATTTGCCGTGTTCATCGTAAGCTCTTTGAGATGGGGATTGTTTTTTGTTGTGTGCTTGTACAGCACCTGGTACCCTAGGGTTCTGGTCTATGATGGAGGCTGCTAAGCCCTATGACAGGGCTACTCAACACACGGCTGTATGCGGCCTATTTGTTTATGGCCTGCAATGCAGTTTGGGTTTACGCGGGGCTCAACACGCGGCTCACGGGTGGGATCCTTTGAACATGGCCTCCACTAGGAACACGCTCCACAATGCCGAGTCAATATCATGGTCTTCTGTTGAGATGCTTTTTAAGAGTTAAATTCCTGGACTGTCATTGCTCCTTAAAAGTGCTGTCACATGGATGG